ATGCTGGGATGCTCCGTTGTAACGCGGGATGTGCCAGTGTGCGATGGATGCTCCCACCCTGCGCCCGGAGCACAGCCTGGTACCCGGCCGCAGCAGAGCTTTGGCATCAGCATCTTTTCCTTTTTGGCTTGGAAATACAGGGGGAAAAGATGGAAATGGAGAAATTTCCTCATGGAGTAGAGATTTTTTTGTAAGGAAAAGGGGAAAAGAAAATCACTGCTGCTCTATTGAGATGTTCCCCTCTGAACCGCTGGGCCTGCAGGGTTTCCTGCTCAGGGGACCCTTTCATTCCCCCATTCCCCCATGCTGAGCCCCAACAACTTTGATAATGTTGACTTGTTATAGCAGATAAAATATTAAAGGCCTATGATATAGCCTGGAATTAATATTTTAATAGAATGTAAAATTCGAGGCAAAGACGAATCCAAACAGTAAAATTGAAATGAAACGTTTTTATCTCGCAAGCAGGAAAGGGCTTTGGTGCTACTGCTTTGATTCACCCTTCCATTACTTTTATACGCTATTAAAATATTCATTTTAATATTATAAATATTGCATTCGATATCTAATGCACCATTACACTGTTTGGGGCACTGGAAAGTCAAAACAATTTGTGGTCACGGGTGTCGTGGGGTGTGCTCTGGACCTCCAGCATCTCAGCGCTGAGATATCAGCCTGCTTCTTGCTTCTCCCACCCGTTGCCCTCTGCCAGCATCACCCCAGGAGGAGAAAAGACCCATGGGGAGGCCCTGGGGTAGGGACAGTCCCCAAGTGGGTCGAGATAGAAGGGAAGAGCAGGACAGAACCATGGAGCCACATAACAAGCCATGAGCCTCACGAAGAAACCAGCTGGACAATTAATTGCAATAACAGGCTTCCCCCCCCCCTTATTTTATAATAATATAATATTAATTGATGGCAATTATAGGATTTCTATATTTGTGTCATTATCCGAGCTCTGTAAGGAAAGGCAGATGATACAAATGTATTTCGGGTGCTGCTTTGAAGGGGAGGGAATTGATATATATATATTTAATCACGTTCCAGGATCAGCCAGTCCAAGCAGAATTAGCTGTGGGGCCAGGGTGTGAGTGCTCCAGTCGCTAACAAGGCAGCTGCTGTCGGAGAGAGCTGCTTGTGGGCAAGGAACTTCCTTGCCTGTATTAATCCTTATTGGAAAATAATGGGAAAGCCGGAGGCTTGGGCTGAGGGTTTCACTGTCCTGGGGCGTTCCCAGGCCTTTTACAGTTTGTTTCCTGCTGGTTTATAGGCTGTTTATTGTCTTTGGAGGTTATGGAGTGAAAAATAACAGCCCAGGTTGTCCCTTCCTGGTGCAACCCCCTGGCTCTTGGCTTTAAACCCCCCCAAAATGTGGGATTCGGTGCTGTGTTTTCCCATGCCCCATTCCCCGTTGCACCCCACGGGTGCTCCATGCCTTTCATGGCTCCATCGTCATCACAGTGGGAGATGCAGTGGAGCTGGGGAAAGCTTTGATGAGCCGTGGTGGGCATCATCCTTGTGGGTGCCTCAGTTTCCCCAGTGTGAGGGGAAAGATGCACCCCCCTGGACCCCTTGTCCATCACTTGTGGTCCCTTCACAGCAGCCCCTGCGCCCTCTGCCTCAGCAGCTCGTCTCCCCCATGACACCTCCATAAAGGCTCCCGCAGGGATTAGGGCTGGATTTGGTGATTACCACCTACCAGGCACTGTTATCCCAGTGATTAGTGCTGCCCCGGGATTACAGGCAGGTGAAATGCAGGCCAGGGATTACGAGGGGAGGCCGGGCTGTCCCGGCACTGTGGATGCTTTCCTCACAAGTGCTGTTGATTGGGGTTTGCTCCCACAGCCAGGATTTACCCACATGGAGGTTGATGCCTTCAAAGTGCCCCCAGCCCATAGGGTTTGCACCCCAGAATCCTTCCCCATGTAGGGTGATGTTGTGATGGAAGTGGATGTGATGGGAGTGGACGCAATGCCACTGAGAGTGAATCCAGTGCCGTTGGGGATGAGCAGGATGTGTAGTGGGAAATCCGTCCTTGGGTTTTCCAGTGCTTTGTACGTCTGAAACAGCAGGAGATGCTCAGGTGGGTCCCCGCAAAGACAGACAGGACCCTTCCCTGGAGTCACATTTTGACCTTCCCTGCCCAGGCTCCCACTGCAACAACAGGATTTGTCTCCGGCATCTCCCCAGTACAAGCGGCAACCCCAGCTTCGGTCCTCGCTTGAGAAAGAGAGATTACAGCTTCCTTCCCACCCCAGCCCCTCTGTCTGCCAAAGCAGGAGCCATAAATAAAATCCAACTGGGGTAAAAATACTTATTTCTGTAAGAGTTGAAAAATATCCCAACAGTGGTGCCAAGAACCTGCCAGCGGCGGTACGGGAAGGCGGGAGGGATGGCACCCAAACACCCGGCTTTAAAAGCCCTCATCCATCAGCAGGAAAAGGCTCCCATGACAGGGCAGGATGCAGCATGGTCCCAACGTCATCCAAATCCCTGTTTTGGAGTGGGGAAACTGAGGCTCTGCGCCTTTGCTCTCTGGGGAGGAATGAATCACGGCCCGGCCGCTGCTTCCCTCTGTTTGCTGCTCCAGCATCCCTGGGGATTCAGGCCCGTGAGTCAGCCCTCCCGTCCCCAAAGCAATCGGGAAATTGGCTTATAAATCATGGGGGTTTATGTACACAGGCGGCGGTCACTGGGTGGTGGCACAGGGCTGCTCCTGCTGCAAATGGACCTTTTCTGTCTGCCTAAAATGATGCTCTGCCCTTCCCACAGGGCTCCGGGAGGTGGGTTTTGGGGCAGACCCCATCTCCCTCCTCATCTTGGCCTCTGCCACCCTCCAGCATCATTTGCAAAGACCTCCCAGCAGCACCCAAAGGTGTTGGGGATACACAGGGGCTCAGTCCAGGGTCTGTTCCCCCTCCTCAGCACTACCAGGCTGCAGCTTCTTGGGGTATCTTCAGCTCCTGTCACTGCTCAAGGTCAATCCCATTAATTGCTGTGAATTATTTTGGCATTAATGGAGATGTCTTATGCACTTCCACTGTAAATGAGGCTGCCAGGATGAACGTGCTGGCCAATATTTCCTGGTGAAGGGAGATGGGGGAATATACAGCAGGAGAGCAAGAAGGGTGAAGGCACCCAGGGTGCTCCTGGGGCTGGTGGGGGCAGGAAAACCCACCCTTGGGCTTGGGCACCAGACCCCAGAGCGTGTTCACAGGGATGTGTGAACCATGTAGGGAATGGGTGCAACGGGGACTCGGTCCCCAAATACTGGCATCTCCACTGTGCGCCGTGCAGTTGAGGGGAGTATTCCCCTCATTCCCAGGGTGTGAAGTCGGTGCTGCTCCCCAAACCCCATCTCTCCCATGGCTCCGTATGGTCAGTGAGAAGCCAGGACAAAGAAAATCCCTGCGCAGCCCTGCTACAGGGTCCCTGGATGTGTGGTGTGGAGGGGACCGGGCAGCCCATAAGGGACAGGGGCAATGCAGTGGCTGATCCCCCATTCCCAGTGAGGACACAGGGGGTCCCCAGCCACCTGCAGCCATGTGTGGGGGCTGCAGCCTTGTATGCACAGTGCTGCAGGGAGTGGGGTGACAAGGCTGAACCCCCTGGGTGGCACTTGCAGAGGGGGCCAGGGAGACAAGGGGCACCCTGGCTGCAGTGGGGATGGGGGAAGGACCCAAGCCCCCCCGGATGGTGAGAAGTGACCAATCCCAGCTGGATGTCTTCATCCCGGGGGGGACAAAGGGTGTGCTCCCCATGCTCCTCACCTCTCAGCTCCCCCCAGCCACCCTGGGGGGCCCTCAACCCCCATTTTTTTTACCCCCTTACATTGCAGTGCTGCTGGTGGCACACGGCACGCAGGGGAGGGCAGGGCCGGCAGTGTAACCCCCCCGCCGCACCCCAGGGGTGCTGGGTTGGGGGGGGATCAACTGGGAATCTGCTTGGGCAGGGAGGGCGGTCCGGGGCTGCACTGCATTGCACAGCATCCATTGCCATCGCATCACATCGCACAGCACCGGAGGGGAGCGGGGCTCTGCTCCGCTTCCATCTCCTCTCCCGAAGAGGAGGGGGGGCAGAAGGAGGAGGAGGAGGAAGAGGAGGAGGAGGAAGGCGCCTCCCTCTGCCGCCCTCCCCTCGCTGGCACCCACCGGAGCCCGATGCGGCTCCGGCCGGGAGAGCGGCCACGGGAGCGCCCGGCTGCGGGGCCCCCCCGGCGGCAGGCGGGGGGGGGGGCGGCCCGGATAGGGGGCAAGGAGCAGAGCCCCCCAACCCTGCAGCTTCCCTCAAGCCTCCTGCACCCCCTCCTTAATTCCCTTTGCGAGCAGAAGGGGGTGCACCCCCGGCTTTAATCCGACGGAGGGAGCAGAGGAAGCGGGGACCCCCTTCCTTTGCTTGCTTATGGCCCGATCCCCCCGCTTCCAGCCGTCGCAGGGAGGCAGCGGCTGAGCCGAGGCCCCGCTCCCCCCAAACTTTGCCTTCGGATGCGGGGACTCCGCCGTTGAGCTGCTCCAGCCGCTGATTAATTGCATCTGCCTGGGATTAATTATTCACCCGCCTGCTTCGGGTTGTGGTTTTCGTTACGGTTGTTTGTGTTTTCCTGGAGGGGGTGGGGGGGGGGGAGCGCTTTAATTCGGGTTTTTAGTCTGATTTCTTCCTGAAGAACCGCTCTTGGAAATCTGATGCTCATCCCCGTGCGAGGGGGGCCGGCGCCCTGCAGCATCATCCTCCAGCAGCACATCGGGGTTCTACCCCGGGAGGGGTTACACGTGCTCTGCTCCCCCTTTCCCACCCCGCTTTGAGGAGGAGGAAGAGGAGGGGGACCCACCCCCACCGGCTGGGCGCTCCCCGGTCGCCCTGCAGGCACCTGGGGGGGGGGGGGGGGGAATTGCGGCAGGTTTGGGGTGCGGGTGGGGGGCCGGAGATAGGGTGCTCTGCTCGCTGAGCTGGGGGAGCAAAGCCGAGAGCCCCCCAACCCGATCCGGCTTCTCCTTCCCCCCCCCCCCGCCGCCGTTGGCTGCTGCTCCTGTCTCGCACGTGGTTGGATTTAGGGATTTCTGCGGCTTTTTGGTGCTTGGTTTGGATTTCTTCTATTATTTTTAACTATTTTTGGTTACGGGGGTGTCTCGGGGTTCGCCCCGCTCCCTTCCCCCCCCCCACTTCGCAATGGCCTCTCCGGAGAAGATGCACCCAGGGCCGGCCGCCCTGCTCTGCTGCCTCTGCTCCCTGCTGCTCCCCGGTAAGTGCCGCCGGCACCGGGAGGGGGGGGCCGATCTGTGTGCTCTGTGTGTGTGTGTCTGCAATACTTGGGGGGACTTGCACCCATATTCCCCTTCCAGCCCCATCTACCCCCCATCCAGGGCCAGCCGCTGCCCCGTTGTGCCTGCCTGGGATCCCCCCATCCTCCCGCAGCCGGTTTTCTGTGCCCCCCCCCAGTGAAATGGGTGAAGATTAGAGTTTATTCCTGGCTTAATAAAATGACAGCTTGTGCTATGCGAGCGCTTGCCGGGGGCTGTTTCCCGAGCAGGGAGCGGCGGCGGGGCGGGGGGGAACATGGGGTGAGGAGGATGCGGTCGTCCTCCCCCCTGCCCCTTGTCGCCTTAATGCAGAGCTGCTTTAGCAGGAGGATCAGGGGCTTTATCCGCTATTATCCACTCGCTGATCCCCCAGACCCGCACCCAGGCACTTTCCCAGCCTGCGCTGAGTTACGAGGGAGCATCACTTTGGGGTGCGGGGATGCGGGTGCAGCCCCTGCCATCCCTCTGCTGCTTCCTGATCCCCCCTCACCATGGGTTTTAGGGTGAGGGTTTGGGGCTGGTGGTGCTGCCCCTGCCCGCGGCCTGGGCAGGGAGGGCCCCCGCTGCCTGCGCTTCACTTGCCCTGAGTTGCATCCAAATCACTGCCGTGCCATGGGCGAGCTGCGGTGACATCCAGCCCTGGGGGCACCGGCACCTGCTGCTGGGGGGAGTCTTACCGGCAAGAGGGGCCGCACAGCCTGGGGGACAAGGGGCTGGATTCCACGGGCGTTGTGTTCGGGTGGGTTCATTGTCAAACCACAATGCCCCGTCAGAGCTGCTTGGCTGGGCAGAAAGCGGGGGCTGCTTCCAGTTTGGGGGGGACCATCCGGATTCCTCCTGCCAGCCCAGCTCTGGCTGTGGGTTCGGAATGTCCTGGGGGCTGAGGGCTGGGGTGCCCAGCTCAACTGAGACCCCCCCCCCCAGAAGCCACGGTCTCTGGACCGTGCCCAGCTCCATTTCACCCCAGCAGCCCATGGCTAAAGCACTCTGGGGTTCAAGCAGGGCTTTCTCAGGCATCTGCAGCCCCCCAAGTTCTTTGAGGAGCTTGGGAAGCTGCTCACCCACAGCGATGAAATGAAGAGGAGGGGGACATTGGGGGCCTTGCAGGGAGCTGGTGAGGGGGTCCACCCTTCAGAGCCTCTGACCTCAACAGAGGAGCAGGAGTAGAGATGCTCCAGACTGGTGAGCACTGCAACTTCACACAGCATCCTTTGGGGATGCAAATGCTGCCCCCCCGGTACCCCAGCACTGGGTGTTTCCTGGGGTGCTGCCCGGGCAGGGATTGCTGCAGAGCTCTCCTTGGGACCACCAGGTCCGGGAGACTGGAGCCGGTAAGGGATTGCCATCTCCTTCCTCTCCTCAGTTTGCCTGCATGAGATTCAGCCGTCTGGGTCGGCGCTTCCCCACGGCGGCTGGCGGCTGCGCTGGCGGGCGACGGGAAACATCCCTGTGCAAGCGATCCATCGGGAATCGCCTCTGGTGCAGGGGCTGGCTGCGGCCCCTGCTCCCCATCTCCTCCCCGCGCATTTCTTAGACCCCCTGTTGCTGCTGGGACACGAACACCCCTGTGGGTCAGGCCTCGGGTTTGTGCCAGGGCAGGATCTGGCCCCTTGAATGGGAGTGTGATGGGTTTGGGAGTCCCCATGGTGGCGATGCCGGCATGAAGCAGGCAATGGGGTGACTGTGCTGGGTGCGGGGCTGGGGCTCGCTGTGCTGCTGGGGAGGATTCTTGTGCTGGTGGAGAGAGAAGCCTCTGCCAGGAGTTTTTAGGCTCCTTTAGGATGTGCAGCTGCCTCTGTGGCCTTCCCTGGGCAAATGAAAGTCTTGGAGGGAAGCAGAGAGTGGGAACAGATTGTTCTCCCAGTGCTTCTGACAAACCACTTGGGATGGTGGTGGGGATCAAACGGCGGCAAAGCAGCGCCCTCCTCTCCTGCCTGTCTGGGGTGTTTCACTCCCTTTTCCCTTGTGTTTTATCCAAGAGCAGCCCTCAGCCCCAGCCTTGCCCCTGTTGCACTGCTTTGCCTGCACCGGGAGCCACTTTGCCATCGGCCCTGGATCAGCTGCTTCCAGAAAGGGGCTTTTTCAGCATCTCCAGAGTGGGATGCTCGCAGGGATTGCGGGATGGATGGCTGGGCCCTGTGGCTGGGGTGTGATGGGATGTGCTTCGTGTGCTTGTACTGCAAATCTGCGAGGGACGTGTTGGGATGTGGCACAGGGGGATTTAGCCACCCACTTGCAAAATACCTTGTGCTGCCCATGGGGCTGAGCCTGGATTCCTGCACCTTCCCTCTGCTGCCTGCTGAGCCTTGTCCCCACAGCGTGCCTCATTCTACCCTCTCCCAGAGGCAGCTCTTGCCCAGAGGCAGTGGTCCAGGGGTGCTGGGGTTGTTCAGCGTCTGTCCCAGTGTAAAAGCCAGGCTTTGGGTCCTGTGCTGGTCCCGGCACCTCCATCCTGCTGCTGGCGGGGATGGGGCTGTGCTGCTCTCCCCGTATCTCCCACCATGGGCAAGTCGCAGGCCCTGGGGTGGGGGTGAAGGATGATGCTGTGGCCATGGCTCCATCCCTGGTGGAGGGCTCCAGCCAGCGCATCCCAACCCCAGCAAGGAGCGGGGGATATGGACAGATATGGACCATCCCCATCCCTTGTTCCGGCGCAGAGCATCTCCCAGCTCCGCGGTTCTCAGGCCAGCAGGTGGAGATGTGCAATAACTCGCTGCTGAGCCCGGAACGTGCACCCAGCCTTTGCTCTTTTAATGCCTGAATCGGGACCGTGCACCTGGCGTTTGCTCATTTAACAGCCCCCATCCCGGCCGTGCTGGTGGGGTCAGAGCAGCCGAGCAGCCTCAGCTCCAGCCAGGAGCACAGAAGGGGCAATAGGATCATTGCTCATCCTGATGGGCAGGTGAGAGGACAGGATCCAGCTTCTGAGCTGGGTAAAACCTGGCACAAGTTCTGCCTTTGGTGCCACAGAAAAGGCTTTCAGCTCTGGGGTGTCCTTGCATGTCCCACAGGGCCCACTCTGTCCCCCAACCCTGATACCTTGCAATCCCAGCAGGATGCTCATGCTGGGATGTGGTGATGCTTCTTCTACCCCTTTTGTCCTCTTGGTGTTGCTGAGGGAAGAGAAGAGGATGAGGGATGCTGTCAGTGGCATGATGGAAATCCTCTGAGTGATGATTTTGGTGAGCATCTGTTGCAGGCTTTGGCTTTGGGGGATTTCAAGATGCATTAAGTGCCTCGATACTCTTGGCCAGAACCATCCTTTTGTGTGTGCACTTCTCTGTGTCATGATGCTGCACCCCAGGCTCAGCCCTGCTGCATCACTGGGGAAACTGAGGCAGGGAATTGGATGGCAGCAACCCCCTGGCTTGGGATTGCACAGGGATTTTTGGAAACCTGCCTTTTTGTCTCTTACTCTAAGTGCTGCTATGAACTGCCCTCACCAAGTCTGGCTGCTGAGGTCCCTCCTCACCCAGCTTCTCTGCATCTTAAACAGAGCAGGAAAGCAAAAAACCAACCAAGCTGTGGGGTCCCTGCAGAGCATCCCTAACATTGCACTGGCACATCCCAGCTCCATGCCCTCCTGTAGCCCCCCAGACACTAACAGGGGGGTGGGCAGCTGGACATGGCCTGATCCCAGGAGATGATGGGTGAGGGAAAGGGTCCTTACATGGCACAACCTGATTTTATTTGCCTCCTGCAATTCCTTGTCCAAAATAGCCCCTGATGTGCATGGAGGAATGTTCCGGTGTGATCCCCTCCTGCGTAGTGCCCGTGGTTGCATCCCATCCATCTGGAAAAGGTCACTCTTGCTAATCTAATCAGAGTCTCCTATTATTAAATACATGGCTCTGCTAACGAACAGCCTCCGGGAAGGGAGGGAGGTGGCTGCTCCTTGGGGTGGGATGCGCTGTGATGGGGACCCCAGCAGTGCCTTTGGGGACAGGGAGTTTGTCCATGTGTGATGCCAGAAAGAGAAATAGTTCAATGGTGTGAAGTGAGGCAGCTCCTGGTGCTCCTCGCCAAGGGAAGAGGAGGTTGGAGCTCACTGCTTCCATGCAAACTGGGAGACATGGGGTCCTCCAGCCACAACTGATGGTGGCTCAGTGGTTCCCACCCTGGGGGAGGCACCAGCCAGGCTGGGGGGTTCATGGGCTGTCACCTCTCCTGCAGACACCCTGGGGTTGGGATGCAGAGGCTGCTCCTTGGGATGTGGCTCTGCTGGGGACCATTCCCTTCATTTTCCTTAGGCTGTTGCCTGACCTGTTGCACAGGATCATACGTCCCTTGATGCTGGCTGGGTGCTGAGCCCCTCGCTTGCAGCTCTGGCCTTCCAGAAGGATACCATAATGAAGGCAATTCCCAATGTTCTGAAGCTGCCATCTCCTGCTGGAGAGCGTTTCCCCATCACTTACACAATGTTTGCTGCCCTTGATGTTCCACTAGCTCTGCTAAAGGTGCTGGCGTGGCTTTACCCCTGCTTGCAGGCGCTGCCACCTCAGGGCCCCTGCAATGAACCCATCACCCCGTTGTCTCATCTGGGTCCTGCCTTCATCTCCCTGATTCAAGAATTAAGGGGGCAGGTTTTGCCCTGGTTAAACGGGCTCTGGCATGTTGGGCTCTTCCCCAGGACTGCCAAAAGTTGAGAATGAATTCACTTTTAATCCATTTTTCCTCGAGGAAAACCTGAGTTTTCCACCTAGAACATAAATCAGATTGAAAATGCAATACCCTCTGCTGCCAGCTCGGTGCAGCTGCTGGATGTGCTCCTCTCTGGGTACCAGGTAAATCAAAGAAAGGAAGGGGATGCATTCGAGCTGTGTGTGTTTAATGCTGGGTGGCAAAGTCCTGAGCTGGTGAAGTCCTTGGCTCAATGCCTGTCCCCAGCCCTGATGCTGGGGGTGCTGGGTGAGCTCTGGGGGTGATGCTGCCCCAGTTGCTT